TGTGTCACACTCTATATATATATATATATATATATATATATATATATATATATATATATATATATATATATATATATATATATATATATATAAAGACATAAACAACAAATTTCAATCTTAAAATTTTATTTCATCGCTTGTATTGTACTCCTTTTAGCGATGAAATAAAATTTTAAGATTGAAATTTGTTGTTTATGTCTTTTTATTTGCTCTACTGATTTATTGGTGTTGAGCACTCTAGTTCACTACGCACAAATTCAATATTGAATATTATATATATATATATATATATATATATATATATATATATATATATATATATATATATATATATATATATATATATATATTTAATCTTAAAAATAGTACATGTTGCTACTCAGAGTTTCATGCAATTTCGCAATCTTCAGACAACTGTTATTACAAGTTCAGTTTTGTTTGTTGACGCTACTCACTAGCGGTTTGCTGACGCATGCGTTCGTTGGTCGGGCACACTCTCAAATTTTCCCGCGTGGAATTTCTCTGCGCTCTTCGCGAATATTTCCGATCTTCGATTAAGCGTTTTATTTGCCTTTAAAAGTAAGAAATCGTCATTGTTTTAAAGACAAAAGATTTTAGGCGAATGGGAATTTAAAATAGCACAACTGTCAAAATTACTGCACACGCGAGTGCATAAAACATTGGTCCAATTTAAAGTTTGCATTATAACGACTACATGACGACAGCGAAATAGCAAACATTTCTTGATTTGATGAGTTGATGATTGATAAATTTCTTGCAAATATTGTTCATTTTTGCTCGAGTTCTGCAAAATTTTGTAAATTTCAAGAAAGAAAGGGCGAAAGAATCAGCTGAAAGAAGGGAGCCGACGTTAACGAAGGTAAGTTTGTTTTAAATATTGATTTTTAAATATAATGGCTTTAAAACCCGACGGCCTTTGCGTATATGAAACAACTAAACAAGACAGCATATAATTTCAGTGTATCTTTAATACTGATTCCCTTTTTTATCAGTATTGAATTTTTTAAATAAAAAATAAAGCAAAGTTATTTGCAAGCGAGAATTTGAAATCATTTTATTGCAAACTCAAAGTTTATCGATAAAGCCATTTATTAGTTAAAGGCAGTTTAGTTTTATAAAGAACACTTTAAAACGTTTTGTGAATTGTTTGTGGTTGAATTTTACCTTAAATTGAAGCTTGTATTACGTATAATTACATACCTAACATGATATATATGTTGGGAAATTGATAATTTTGTAATTAAAATTTAAAAGTGATATTTTTAGGCGATTTTCATTTGTAGGAATATTCTTAAAAAATTATCGTGTTACCATGACAACTACTTTAGATACTTCATGTTCGGAAAATACAACGGTTTTGTCAGCAAGGCGAGGGTTTCTGCATGCATGTATTTTCTAGTATGCTAAATAATTGCAGACTGATTTCTTAGGAAATTCCGAGGTTGCGTTTTTTTGTACACTCTGTAGTAATGCACTAGCTGTAGAGCGAAATTTTCGAAATCCAAATTGAGAATCACTGAGAAGCTCAAATTTGTTAAATAGTTATACAGTTGATCATACAATATCCGTTCCATAATTTTACTAGTGGCCGGTAAAACTGATATTGGTGTGTAGTTTCCAGGAATACTGCGCTAGAGGCAGAGACTATAGAGGCATCACTCTAGCTACCTTCCATTCATCAGGAAAAGAAGATAAAATAATAGACGGATTGAAAATAAGTGTCAGTGAATCTGAGATGACAGGTGCAACTAATTTAATAATTTTGGAAGAGATTTTATCGATATCCCAGTGACTTTATTGTTGGAAAGTCCATGCAAAAGATGAAAGACATGACTGACAGTAACAGGTTGGAAAGCAGCAAATTCTGATTGAGCATTTTTGACATATGTTTCATAATTGGAATTTCAATAATCTATTTTGCTAGCTAGATTTGGGCCAATATTTGAAAATATTCATTAATTTAAGCCCTCCGCAATATCTTCAGGACTTCTCAAATTTTGTTAACCTACATTTAGTTCATTTACCACTCTTTTGCGGAAGTGGTGCATGTTTTTCTAGGACTTCAAGAAATAAATTTTTCCAAATTTCCCACATGGCATTTGGATCATGAACAAAGAAATACACATATTCTCAGTGTTGTATAGAAGCAATAATTATTTAATATCCTCTCTTACAATGTCTTGACAATTTGTTCGGCCGAAAACCGCTTGGCCTTGAAAATTTGCAATACTTTTGTTTTACAACTCGAAGACGAAGTGAAAGAAATGGTTTTAGAAGCATGTAGCACATTGCGTAAACGTGAGTAGTGAAAGACCCCCTCTGGAGTTCAAGGGATGCCGCCAATGACGTCACTTTGTTCCAGAAGTAATTAGTATGCAAAATCTATGACGTCACTTTGCTGGGCCAATTGTGACAGGAAACGCGATCAAACACAATAAGGTAAGGCGACCAATTAATATCCAAGGCTATCTCTATAGCAATGGTGGTAACCCTAGATTTTTCACCCCCGGGGGCGTCGCAGAGGCTTAATTATCCATGAAGTTGACTTAGAACTCCTTTGAGAGCCTTCAACCCTAGTGCAATGACGTCATAGAACAAGATCAGGCGACACTCGGGCAAGTTTGGGCCAAATGTGACAGGTAACGCGACCATTTTGCATCACAATATGAGAGTCATGAATTGCAATGCATCTTGAACTATTTGTGCTATTGGGATCAAGAAGACCCTTTATAGAGTTGATTGCTACAGCATTATTTAACAAACCATAGGCTAGCCTATGGAGCTGGCTCCGAGCTTATGGAGCCTTAGTCTCCTATGCAGACCTACTTTAGCGGGTTTGGGCCCGCCACGTACGGTCCGCTTACGTTGGCTAGCAATTCGCCTTCCCATTGTATTCCATTAGCCAATAGCATTCAAATACACTAGACACGCACACTTTGAATGTCAACTGTAAAGTCTAAACAAGGAGCGTGCGATAATCGAATAATAATATAAACGTATTTAAATGGCCATAAATGTGAACAGATCAAGTTGTCTGATCAATAGCAGGCGAACTAGAAAATATTGAATATTTTTCCAACGAATGTACGCGATAGGTCGAAGGATTAAATGTAAATAAAACTATTCACTGGCAATACTTGTTTTGAACTTGACGCGACTGCGTGACGGCATGTGTATTCAATATATACTATAAGTTTCCGAACGTTCAATATCAGAGCGACATTTGTAATTACGATTTTATTAAACTTTATAAAATGGCTAGTCATGCATATACAAATTTAGGAACCGAAATATATGCAATGAATCAACTCAGTATTTTACATAGGCTGAATTCTGTAATCTTCAATTAGTATTTATAAATCTATCATCTACACCCGCAGTAATGTATACGTAGCCTACACTGTAACTTTATAACTTTGTCTTGACGTCTTTGCCCAGTATATTACCCGTGCTACAGTAACACCTGCACACGCTTGTAAAGTAATCAAAACATCGCGAAATATTTTAGGTGATATTGTTCGATTTTACTACACTGTCTGTTCAAAACAATAACTCGACAAATTCTACTACTACTACTACTAAAGCATTTATTTTAACACGATAAGATTACAGCTGAACTGATGAGGTCGTGTATGTACAACAATAATTTAAGCTATGTTATATTAATAAAAACTTATTACCCAGTCCCAGTCAATAATTACCTAAATTTAAAATTTATCTGTCTTTAAAATCGTTTTAAAACTAGCTATATTATTTGAAGCCCTATGCTCATTCGTTAAAGAGTTCCACAGACTAGCTGCCTTATAATATATTGAATTCCTAACATAATTAGATTTAGGCACAGGTAAGGCTAAACTTAACTTCCTTCTAAAATCATATGTGTAATTACTTTTTCTAACAATAGATTGTAATTGTTCTGGAACATGTCCATAGTAACACTTATATGCAAAGCATAGCAGACATTTTGAGTTCATGTCCCTGATAGTGTTCCAATTAGCTTTCACCAGCACTTGGTCGCTGGGAGTACTCCAGTCCAGTTTGTAGATGATCTTTGCAGCTGGAACATGAATTCTCTCTATTTCATCCATGAGGGTCTTGCCACACGAGCTCCAAATCATTAGTCCGTAGGTTATGGATGGAAGTATAACCTTGAAGTAAAAATCCTCTCTACCTTTTTTCGGGAGGAAGTATAATGATTTTAACAAATTCAACTTCTGAGTAAATGCTTTAATAACTTCAGAAACATGGTAGGTCCAATTTAATTGATAATCAATTTCTAATCCCAAACATCTAGAAACCAGCACCTGTTTAATACTATTGTTTCCAAATCTGATGTCCTGGAGTGGGTCAGTAAATTTCCCTCGACCTAAAAGCATGTGCTCAGTCTTACCCGGGTGAGGAGACAGTCCATTTAGACAGCACCATTCATATAACTTCTTTATAGTTTTATTCAGCATATTGGCAACTTCATCGTTAGTCCTAGCTACTACGTACAATGTTGTATCATCCGCATACATCTCAACATCCTCATTTTCATCAACTACAACATCTGGTAAATCGTTACAGAATATTGAAAAGAGTATAGGACCAAGAACTGACCCTTGAGGTACTCCAAATCTAACAGGCATAGATTCTGATTTGCAGCCGTTTACAACGGTTGCTTGATGGCGATCAGTGAGGTAATCTCTTATCCAGCACCATAGATCACCTGCAATACCCAAACTTTGAAGTTTGTAGAGCAGAATATTGTGAGGTAGAGAGTCGAAAGCTTTACGGAAATCAATAAAGACAACACCAACAACTAACTTTCGATCCAGTGCACTCCTCCAATCTTCGGTCATCTTAGCTAAAAGTAGCTGCGTGGAATGTCCCTTCTTATAAGCCCACTGGTGTTTATTTCTAAGATTATGGGGCTCAACATGGTTTCTGATGGTAGAAACAACCTGAGTTTCCATGAGTTTACCAGGGACACATAATAAAGAAATTGGGCGATAATTTTGCTTATCGGTTTCATCATCCTTCTTGAACAAGGCAGAAACTCTTGCAAATTTCCATGTGCTTGGGACAGTATTGCACGACGCACTCATTGAATATAGAGAAAACAACGATGGAATTAAAACATGACCAGCACCTTTAAGTAATCTTGGTGCGATGTTGTCCGGTCCACAAGTTTTATTGTTCTTTAGTTTCATTAAACCTTGCATAATCGAATCATAAGTAAGTTCAATGTTCGTTACTGTTGGTGTAACACGAATAATATGCGAAAAAGGATTTTCCTGACTTTGACCCGCATATAATTCACTCGCTAATTTCTCTCCAATAGTAGAGAAATGTTCATTAAGGATTTCTGCTTTCCGCGAGTCAGATGTTTCGATGGATCTGGACAGTTCGACTACCTGAAGCATTCTTCACCAGTTTCCAATAGGATCGACAATCTTTAACTTCATCAAACAAGTTAGTATAATATTCACTTTTCGACAGCCTGACCTTTTGATTTACTCTATTCCTAAGGCTACGATACTCAGACTACAGTTCCTGGCTATTTGATTTCTCAGCCTTCAAAAACGTTTTCAGACGCAAGTTCATCAGATGTCGAATCTGGGGAGTTATCCAAGGTAATGACTGTTGGCTAATTTTAACTTGCCTATAGGGAGCGTGTCTGTCACATATTTCATTAAACAGGTGTGACCAGGACCAAAGCTGTCATCAGGATCGTCAAAGACAGAGATGACAGCCCACGGTGCTTCCTCAACATCTTTTCTAAACGCTTCGTTGTCAAATCGTTTATAAGATCTAGCTGTAACCACTTTCGGTGGAGGTCGCTTAATCTTGTTCTTTACCGACGCATACACCAACAGATGGTCTGAAATCCCCAGCTCGAGTGTTTTCGTACATTTGATGGTGTTTGGCTTACTGGCGATTACCAAGTCGATTAAAGTGGATGTCTCGCTATCGATCCTTGTTGGTTGATCATTGACTACTGAGTAGTCAGAATGCTGAAGTATATTATGAAGTCGTTTGCCCATTGCTGATGTGATTTCTCCTCTATTCCTTGTAAAATCTGCATTCAAGTCTCCGATTACCATAACATTTCTATACTTCAACCAGACTTTCTCCAGCGTAACGTAAAATCTTTGAAAGAATTCAGAGTCAGAGGGTGGTCTATAAATAGAACCTACGATGAATGCAGATGATTCAAACATGATCTTAAGCCATATGCCCTCAATATCCTTCGATTCAAATGATTTAAGCCGCGTGAAACAAAGATGGTTGGCAATATACACCAGACATCCTCCTCCGATCATTCCTGAACTTCTATCTCTCCTGACCATCTTGTAATTCTCAATTTCAAGTTGGCTGTTGGATATTTTACGATTTAGATGTGTCTCAGTGATAGCCAAAATATCAAAACGACATACGTATAACAGGAGTTTCACTTCCTCAATTTTATTTCGAATACTACGAATGTTGATGTGTGCAACTTTTATGTTGTTTGATCCTTTGTCTAAAGACTTCACAAAATCTTGTAAATAATTTGGAGCAACGGTCACGTCCCAACCTGGATTTCTTTCAATGTCGCCAGAGAGCAACAAAATTTGCGTCGAGGCAACAGAGTTAGGGTAGTAAAGAATGCGGCACTTTGAAAACTTTGATGATCTTAATCTTAATAAACGTATAATGTGCTTTGTACCATTTGTGCATAATATTAATCTAATAATACATGGGTCAAACTTTCCCAATAAAAGCTTAGAAGTTATAAATATATCATTTGGTGGAAAAACACCACTCACAGACACAATGTTGTTGGTAAAACCCGCCTCAACAGCAGATATCACATATTGTATCACAAAATCTGCATTGCCGAGGCTTCCAAACCATAGGCAGGTATAAAGTTCGACATTGGGTAAATAATTCGCCTGACTGGTTCCACTGTTGTAATAATTTTCCAATTTCTCGCTTTGAACCGTAGGATCAGCTATTCCGGTGAGGCCACATTGTCCTCCACTTGATTCTTCACATTTTAACCCGTAAAAATCTGCCAAGAAGCAGCAATTGAAGAGACAAAATAACCCAGAAGTATAGAGCCAAGTAAAACGTGTCGACCTCATTACGCATATATAAACATATATACGTATTGTTACATATTGTAAATTTGTAGACTGGTATATGTATAACAAATATATCTCTCAGCTTTCGCAGATAATCGGTTTAAGATATGAATACGTAGAAATGAAGATATGAAATGTTCAAGATTAAATATTTTTACTTACATATTTTGACGAAGATTAAATATTTTGACGACCCATGTCTCAAGGTCAGAGATCAAGCCCCACAATTTTCGTGGGTAAAGCTGTGATTGGCTAATTTTGAGGAAATAATTCTTGGCCAAAGTAAGCATACCTTACATGAGGGCACAGTCCGCTAAGTAGGTATGCTTAAGAGACTAACGGAGCCTCTGGTCGGAACCTAAGGAGCTCAGCTCGGAGCCTATGGAGCTGGCTCCGAGCCTAGGGACATAGAACAGATACCGGACCAGGGAGAGACGGAGGGAGGGATATACATATATATATATATATATATATATATATATATATATATATATATATATATATATATATATATAAACGAATAATTATATTTATTTATTTATATTTTTTCATGTTTCTACCCCCCTTACGTGCAAGCAATATGGCGAATACGTGACTGAATTCAAGAGCTTTCACCAAAATGGCAATATCTCAGAAACAGTTGCATGAAAAAATCTGGTCTTATCAACCAAATATTATTAATATATGATTGACCAAATTTAGTTTAAATGAACTTGCATACCTATATATATATCATTAGTTTTTTCAATGAGAATTTTTATTTGTAAACCAGTGACACTATTTTTTTCATGTCACTCATCACCTAAAGGGGCAATATCTCCATATATTTATATAAAAACAAAAAAATAAATATTTACTTAATTAGTACATATCTATATTATAACCAATTTTCATCTATTGGGATATGAATTAGAAAATGATAAAAAATTATAAAAAATACCCCTTTGCTTTTTTGGGCAAGATGTTTACAACATGAAATTTAGAACAGTAACTGAGTGTTAAAATTCAACAAAGTGTGCAAGCCAAAACACAGTGCTTGTACATCTTTGGAGTTTTTAATTACCTCAAATATATTTAAAAGGACATACGGTACTAGAATATATTTGTTTTCAATATAAACCAAGGATAGGAAGGTGAGAAAATAGGAATTTTCTGAGGTATAAAATATATAGAGAAAGAAATACAGAAATAGAGATACATTCACTCTACTTTATTCCTGTCGTTCCAAATTTTAGCAGCAGCATACCGAAAGGTGCGAACCATAGAATTTGTTTTCGGTTTTGGCAATGCTAAAAATTTATTATTGCTTCTTAAATCATATCTTTCAGAATTTGATATTTTAAACTTTTCAGCTATATTTTTCGGGAAATTTCCGGTAACAGCTTTTGAAACATACGCACTTTCTTTTTCTTTTCTTTTTACGGATAGGTTTTTCCAATTCAACTTTTTTAAAATATCTTTTGAACGTATATCATAAGTATCACCTGTAATGACTCTTGCTGCACTGTTTTGAAGATTCTGCAGTTTTTCCTTCAGGGATTCGCCGCAGTTGCCCCAAACCAAGGAGCAATACTCAAAATAAGGTTGAACCATAGAATTATAAAGAAATTGAAGCGTTTCTCTTTTAACAAACTGTTTAGCTCGTCGTAACATGCCGATGCCTTGAGATACTATGTTACTTATGTTGTCTATTTGTTCATCCCAGCGTAATTAATCATCTATTATTATGCCTAAGACTTTTCACTTGCGAAATTTTTAAATTTCTGCCATGTCCCGATAATCATATACTCTGTTTTACCAACATTCAAAGTTAATTTATTGGCTACTATCCATTGATGGATATTGTTCAAGTCCGAATTTAATTTAAAATGGCTTGTAAATTGTTAATATCATCGGAACACGCCGTCAAATTCGTATCATCCGCATACATTTCAGCACTAGAGTGTCTTAGACAGTTCGGGAGACCGTTGACATACAAGAGAAATAACAATGGACCGAGATTTGAACCCTGTGGAACTCCACAGGGTATTTTTTTGTTGACGATGCTGCACTTCCCACCTTGAAAAACTGTTTTCGATCAAATAAATATGAAATAAACCACTTGAGGGCAGTATTTTGAACCCCATAAATTTTTAACTTCTTAATTAGGATTTCATGATCAACCGTATCAAATGCTTTACGCAGATCAAGAAATACAACTCCGTTTACAACGCCAGCATCCATATTGACTAGCCATGATTCGCTATTTGAGAACAAGGACGACATTGTTGAGTGGTTCTGATGGAAGCCTGACGTACTGACACGGGCTTAGAATGTCATTTGCATTTAGATAATCTGTTAACTGTATGCATACGAGCTTCTCAAATAGTTTAGCGACAGTTGAAAGAACAGATATCGGTCTATAATTATCCCTTACTTATCAGCTTCTTTATAAATTGGTACACCTTAACGTTATCGGGGAATATCCCACTACATAGGGAAGTACTAAATATGTATGCCAAGAAAGGTGCAACTGTCTCCTTGGAGTCTTTTAACAGTTTAACTGTGATATTATCTGGGCCTGTCGATTTAGACGAGTTTAATTTTTCCAGTTCATTACATATACAATTGTGCTATCAACAATCGCAAATTCAAATATTCCAGAAGCTTCATGCGTCATGTAACTTCAAAACCCTGGCTACTTATTCTTGTTATTTGGTTTGATAAGGTTGGACCAATATTAGAAAAATACTCATTAAACAGTTCGGCTATTGTCTGGCTCTCGACAACGTCTCCCTCGTCAGTTTTAATGGCTTGTACACCAGTACATTTAGACTTTCTATTTAGCAGACAATTTAAGTGTTTCCACATAAGTTTAGGGTTTCCCGTGTTTCCCTCAATTGACTTTGCATAATGTTTCCTTTTAGCGCAAATGACATCTTTGTTTATCTTGTTACGTAGAGCCTTAGGCTCCGAGCCTACGGAGCTCCGCTCGGAGCCTATGGAGCTCGGCTCGGAGTCTATGGAGCTGACTACGAGCCTAGCGAGCTCGGCTCCGAGCCTAGGGAGCCTCTGCTCCTAGCCTATGGAACTCGGCTCCGACCCAATGGAGCTGGCTCCGAGGCTATGGAGTCTCTGCTTGGAGCCTATGACGCTGGTTCCGACCCTAGGGAGTTGGCTCCGAGATACTAGCTGGGCTTTGTGTAATATAAACTCGGTTTTTATTTGAAGGATTTATTATCTAACAATTCGTCATAGAGTAAACATGTCTCATTCATGCCATATCTGTGGAAAATATTTCTCAAAATTAACCGTTTAATTTACATCGACACAAACGAAATGTGCATGATCAAAAACCAACCGGCAACATTCGCATGGCGACTAATGGATCGGCAGTTTTGCATAAGACTTTATGGGTGAAATCTCTCTTGGAGAATGACAAGAATGGTCAAGGGTGGGTAGTAGCGAAGTAGTTGTAGTTCGCTACTGTAGCGAACTACAATTTTCAAGTAGCCAGTAGTTTTTGACTACTTTTTTAAAACAGTAGTTGTAGTTATAGCGAACTACATTTTGCCTAAAAGTAGCCAAGTAGTTG